CGAACACACGAAGTCATAACTCGAGTGTTTGCTGGTAAATAGGGATTGAGAGAATTCAGATATGATTTACCGGATACCTGGAGACCTCCTCACAGAATAGCTCTACTCGGCAAGGACGCGACCTCACTTAGGGTACAAAAATCAAGTTATCGTGGCATATTGCGTCCTCGCCTTTTCCATAACTGACGCTTCCGCGCTATCGTAACTACATGGAGTGCAATCTACTTTTGTTAAAACACGCCGGAGAGACTATGAAAAAGGCCCAACTTTTGCCTGCACTGTCAGATATCTTGATATCTCCATAATCGGCCGGGGGTCAGGATCCTAGTACGTGTGCTCTTTTGCAGGTTGCTGAACAGAAATCTAAAGTGAGCATGTCACCCTAACATTTTTCCGAATGTTTAACTACTATCGCGCTCTATTTTCCGCCGTTTAGCTCTACCCAAAAACCCCCTATTACATGATGGCTCTGATTTGGTTCCTTGAGTGGGATCGCATACTGCGTCCTTGCCCTCCACTCAACGTAGAGCAAAGAAGCAACATAAAAAGCATGAAAACATTGTCCTCCGGAGATGAAACCGAGGAGTCTATAGACTGTTTGGTTTCTACGACGGCTTGAACGCCTGGCGGAAGGGTGGGTCAAACACTGATAGACTCCAAGAACCTGAGTATTTTGAAATGCTCGCTCCTGTCGCGACGGGGCTCTCTGGATGTTTTCTGTACAGTGACATGCTGCAAGAGTTTTCGCTTTATGCGAGGTGCACCTGTTTATTTCCAAGTTTTTCCTATTAGCGACGCTGAGCACAGTGGCGCTTAATGCTTCCTTCTATTCAGCATTACATCAACCTCCCTACAACGTCAAGTCGCATCGTCAACTACGTCACACCACAAAATGAACAAAGTGGCAAAAGTGAGATAAGACACCTCAGGGAAGTTATGAAACCACAGCAAAATAGTAATCTTCCCTGCTGACAGAGGTCAGTCAACCTCGATTCGAACAAGAACAGACTTCCAAGAAGATTTCTCCGATATTTTTGAACAACCATTGAGCTCACAGAACCGGCCGCTTTGTTGTTTTCACGAGGATTCTCGCGAAGGTTAACAAGGAACGGAAGCAATGGCACAACGGCGCGCACCGATTGCGGCACGGAAGTCACTCGTCCTGTTTTGCTTTGGAGCTCTCTCTCGAGCCCCGCCAGCAGCCGCACAGTGGCGAGTAGTGTATAGGTAGAATAGCATTATCGACAAAGACGAGGCAGATTGGAATGACCATTTCTGGAACGAGTGAGTTCTGCAACGCGATCGGTGCGCGCCCGTATACCATTGCTAATATACCAGATCGCAACCAAAAGAACGGTGAGCCTATAACTCAATGAATAGTACATTGGAGTTCTAACCAACAGGTTGCGACCTCGAGTCTGGGAGCTTGCGTATCTCGGGGTTGAGTGTGGTTGGCTAATTATGGCTAAAAAGCTGGAAATAGACATTCCAGTCTCCCTTGTCTTTGTCGGTAATGCTATTCATTCTAAGAAACAGAAGCATCTAGAGAAAGGCGAATTATCAGTCACTATAATTGGCGCACAAGTAAACCCACAGAGGCATTTACGGTGTGGTTCACGGCTTCCTGGAGATACTCAGGATGAGGTCAGTCAATTCACTGCGAGAAAAGAAGAGAAAAAAGCAGGTTGACTGACTTTTCCAGAAACAGGAATTTCTGGTTGCAAAATTTCAACTTACCGTAAATTATGCCGAGCGTCTCTCAAATAACCTCGGAGTTGACTTAAGTTAATACCAACAGTCTCATTATCTCAGCACTAAAACTCTCAGTCGAATCAACCAGTCGCCTGCAGGGTAAAGAATGCGATGGAAACGATTTAGGACCCATAGATAAAGGGCTGTTGACGTGATTCAACTTACCTTTGGTGCGGCCTCACGTATCAATAGATGGTCGATATCCTGTGACAGAAAGCAGTAGTTACCTAACTTACTTTCAAACCACCATCACGCTTACTCTTCAAGACATCTTCGCTTCTAGTTCTCCACGACTCTACGTTCTCTATCACACCGCCTTCCGGACGTCAAAGGTTAATCATGTTGCCAAGCTTCGTTCTTATCTGTTCTGATACACTGCTCTCATATACCCTTTTAATGTATAATCCCTGTTCCCATGGATTCTTTTGGCACAGTTGTCTGTTCATGTCAGCAGACGGAGATGTGAAAAAAGGTTTTGAGATGTCTTATTTAGATGTATTTACCAAATTCCAAGTAAATTCTGCAGCTATAATACGTCCCTGCAACCCTTCTTTCAAACGTACTATGCCGATGGAATCGAAAAGGCGAGTTCCAGGAAGGGGTCGGGAAGAAGGAGACACGATTCCTGGAACACGAGTTTTACTCGCCTGGCGTCCCGAACTAGCACTCAAATTCATCATCAGAGGCAGAATCTGACAGGGGAAGGGCTTCTGCACACATTTTGCAGTATTGCAGCTGCGAAGTCACGGCATACCTACCCGAATGGTATTACTAACAAAGACAAGGGAGACCGAATGGTGTGATAAATGGCTGATGGACTGCAGCATAGTCGTTAATTGTCGGAATTCCGTCACTCGTGTGGGTTCTTGGGTCACTTGGCTCGCCGAGGCAGGTAGTGGAAACAGTACTCGTCCACTCCTCCTCCTCCTCCTCCTCCGCAAATCGTATGTCCGGGAATCTGGCACTCTGATATTCCTTGAAAGCCAGCACCTGATCTACTTCAACGAAGATGAAAATATACACTACACCTTGGGCCCAGAATTTCGGTTTGTAATGTTGTAAGACCGCCGACTCCAACTGCTCTAGGACCGCCTAGGCTGATTACCGAAATCCATTGGAGTACGTTTCATCTGCTCGCAGATTGTCCTATCGAACGGCAAGTACGTATTGTGAGAGGACTTCAGCAGCCGGAGGGCTGGGGCGCGACTGAGGTGATTCTTCATCTTATTGTACAGGTGGACATGATATCAAGTTACCGTGACCTTGTTTGACAGTGAACTTGCCCCATTGATTTTCCCCAAGAATTGGACTGACGAACTGGCTGCTGCTTACGAATCAGCGGCCAAAAATTCGAAGTGCCAAAACGGTTACGTTGATAGTCCGGAAGGTGAGGCGCCTTTGATTGATATGATTGGCTAGAGGGGAGCGCGATCTTTGTGTGCCCTGGGAAGACCAGAGAATCGGGTCAAGGTTGTGTTTGGGCTCTCACCATGCATCGGTCGATCGTCGAGATTGCACCCGACTTCGTCAGTGCCCACAGCGTCGTATTAATTTCGCCTGTCAGCTTTTTCACGGGTTTGATTGCGCATGGAACATAGTACTGGTGATCCTACAGTAAAATTCTGGCTTTCTGAAAGCAGGCTGTCCTTTTCAATACAAAAGTGGAATACCCCTTGTCCGAGGGCACGGTAGCAGTCTTTGTCGGCCCTCAGTACCTCATGTTCGACTTTGGTTATGACAAAGGAGTTCTACGATAGTGACGTGTGATATTTCCTGCCAGTTGATATCAGTGCCTCCCGACGGTCCTGTTTTTCTCGGGTATGGAAGGTGGTCAAGGTAAAAAGGGAGACGTGTGTAATGCTGTCCCCTAAAGGCGGCTTTAAATGGTGTGTATTGCTATCATGCAATATTTTTGTCGAGGGAACTTCCTACCTTGGCTCTCCACCTGTACTTGGCACCATTCAAAGCATGGAAGATATAGCTGATCACACCATGGGTGAATGAACCAGGCACGGACTAAGCCTGGCAGCTAAGCTTAGGCGCACACGATTTGGCGAGTCATGCTAACTGGCGCATCTATGAGGTTGGCACATGATCTCACGAGCAGAAAACATTCATGCACACGCACAGGGTCTCACCTTGAGACCGCAAGCGTTCTCACAAACTGTGTCGATCGCTCACCATTTTTTGATTCGAAACCCAAAATTTCTGCACGGGCTCGGTATCGACTTGTGGTGGCCATGATACACTCTTTTTGTCGCCACGTGCTTTAATAATAAACTGTAATCAAGACTTGACTGAAGAAGTTGCCAAGGTTGCTGCGCGTGTCATCGGTCAAACTGGTTCCCAAGACGCCTGCGCATGTTTAACACACTCTTCTGATGAGAGCTGCTGCCTCCGAGCGTATTCCTGATATGGGAAAGTAATTGAGGTCAAATAGCAAGGCAGTTGTCTGAAATAAATAATAATTAAAATGTTCGTCCAAGAGAAAAATTAAAACATAGCCTTTGCAGAAGATAAATGACCCAACAGAAGGCGACCAGATAAGAAAACAACTCAAATAGACCAAATGCTTCTTCCGATTTAAATACATATGTGGCCCTGTGTGCACTGTAACGATAGGGCAGTTCGGCCTGGAAGGCGTTACCACCAATGTGAGTATATTATAATAGAGAAGTGCTTATCGATGAGGGCGGCCACATACTTGTCCGGCTATGTCTCGCGGTTCAATCTGGAGACCTCGGAGACGGTCGCATAGCGACTAGCAGCATGTAGTCGAGTAACAAATAGTATTACGAGTAGTGTGTATATATATCAAACGTGTATACCGTACTCCCGACATAGGTACCAACTAAACGCCCAGACAAGTGTTTCGCCTATATTCAGCCGCTGCGTGGCACAGCT